CTGCCTCCTCGTCTTCGTTGCTCAATCTTCCTTCTTCGCAGGTCGCCGCCCTTCCGTTCCCGCTACCCTGAGATTGAAAGCTCGTGCTGCTCGATCCCACTTGCTCATTTCGATCTCCCCCTCTTCATCTCTTTGTCTTCTTTCCTTTACTCTCTTTTTGGGTTTTTTTCAGGCGAACAGGATACGGATCTCGACGGAGAGCAAGTTCGGGTCTTGTCCGATTTTCAGTCCGGCGTGCGACAATGCGTGGTTGGTCCCCAATGCCCTTTTTCGAACGATCCCCGTTTCGCATCTCTCTGAATTCGCGTGACCATTTCGAAGCTGTTGCGGTGAACATTTCGCAATTGCGGTTGCTAAGCTTTGGCTTAGGTGACGTTGGTAGATCGGTCGCGTTCTTGTTATCTGGGTTGGGGAGGGAATTCTGTCCCTTTCTGGTTGATATTGCGAAGTTAGCCGTTACTTGTAGCTTGGCGTTTATAGCATGCGTGCGCTTTGCACTGCATATGCGCAGTGGGTTTTGATGAATCCTTACAGTGCTAGATTATGCTCGGTGCTGAGTCATGGATTCTCTAATATAGGCTAAGAGAGGGCTTGGACTTTCCGCACGCATAATTGATCACTGCAACTTAGTCCTGAAGTTCCCAGAAGGCACCAACAGTACTTGGGTCAGATCCCTCTCTCCTTCTTATTTAAGTCTTTATCCTGACGTTTTGTTATTCTGAGCGGCTGATCTTTTTAGTCTTTGATTACAGTACAATGATCAGTTTAAAATCTTTGAGCCCTTGGAGTACAAGTATGATGTTTGTGAGGCCATCTTACTGTGGGAACAGGTCAGTACCATCGTACTTTTGTCTGGGTTACCGATATATTTTTTGGGGAGATAATTTGAGCTAATGTGTCTAGGGTGCAGTATCGTAACATGACTACCGTGCTGACTAGAGAATATCTTGATGCTCGGCCAGACGGGTGGCTGGAATATGCGGCAAAAAGAATAGCACAACTGTAAAATATCCTTCTTACTGTCGTTTTTCCCATTCATCTGTTATAGTTTAATTCCGGAATGCTTGGCGGCTGCTAACTCATGCTCATCGACTGGTTCTAGGGGTGCTGATAAATGCTACAATCGAACTCTTTGTGAGGAGCATCTAAATATGATTCTACCGTCAAATCCTCCCTTTCACCCCCGACAGTTTCACAGATGTGCTGTTGTCGGAAACTCTGGAGATTTGTTGAAGACGGAGTTTGGAAAAGAGATTGATAGTCATGATGCTGTGATTAGAGAAAATGAGGCTCCTGTTAATGAGGTACATGAGCTATGATGCTTCCTGTCATTATGTATGAAACTTTATAATGACTAAAGGACTGAGTTTTTTTGTTGCCTTTTCTCATTTGAAGAAACATGCATTTACTTTCTTGTCTGTTTTTTTTTTTTGGGTTTTCATGCCGAATTTATTGTATAAGCTATGTGGTTGTTAACTCTGTTTCTCCCTCGCATGAATTTTATATATTGAGTGGTATTTGTGAAGTGGATGCTTTATTCCTAGTTCTTGCCTAGTACATTCCTGTTGATTAGATTGTTGCAAGCAAATGGGGTTGTTCTTATTCTGGCTTCCTTTTTTGGCCGTCTATTCTGGCTTCTCACTTAATACAGAAATATGCCAAATATGTTGGCATGAAAAGGGATTTCCGCCTCGTGGTTCGTGGTGGTGCTCGAAACATGATTACCATACTGAATGGGTCTGGTATGTTCTGATCTTTTGGAACAAAGTAGAAACTTGTCAAATCATGGTTTTCCCCAAGTACTTGTTTTCCTAGTTATAGACCAATTTCTTGATACGTAATCGACAAAATCAAAGCTGTATCTGCTTTCAGTTCTCAGTCTCATTACACTTAACTTTTTTCATCTGTTCCCTTCTTTTAATGGTACAATAAATTGAATTAGGGAAATTTTGCGGACACCCACTCTACCGTAATTTGATGGACATCCCCCTCTTTTTCAATTAATTTTTTTTTGCATTTACTGTTGAAGGTGAGAGGCTGACCCCCAAAATTGTTGACAGCAAAAAGGGGTTGACCCTCTCGAAAAGGGGTCAGACCTTCACCTCTAATGGGGGTGTAACCTTTAAAGGAGGTTTTTGATGAGTAGGGCATGTTGATTGAGTTTCAATATAGTAAGGAGTTGTTTCTGAAATATTTGTCTGAATCATGCATTGTTAATGAAGATTCCCTGCGTTTGTCATTACTCCTAGTCTTCTCCTGCAGATGACGAGGTACTCATAATCAAAAGTTTGACTCATCGAGACTTCAATGCAATGATAAAGGTGAGCATTTTGTTCATGTATTGCATTTCCTTGGTCAACTAATAAACTAATTGAACAAATCCCGATGGCTAGTTTCTATGCTTTTTGCATGAAGCTCCCATGCCCGCGGCTGCCTTGTGCTTATTCGTGATCCAGTTTAGCATGTTCACCACTAAATGCTTTCCCTAAACCAATGGACTGTTAACCTTGTCAATCAAGTCTTTGAGAATCAGCTGTCTCTTCATCAATGTAGTTACCTTTTTATTATATCATACGCAGAAAGTTCCAAATCCTGTCTATCTGTTCCAAGGGATTGTGTTGCGCAGAGGAGCAAAGGGGACTGGAATGAAGTCTATTGAGCTAGCACTTTCTATGTGCGATATTGTTGACATATATGGTTTCACTGTTGATCCAGGTTATACAGAATGGTTAGTTCTATTCTTACTCATAATGTTAGCTTTCTTGGATGTTTTTTTATAATACCCAACTCTAGTAATGTATTTAGTATTTTGATTGTATGATTATGTGCACTGGTCATGTTCTTTTCGTTATTTTTCTTTTAGCTTCTATATCTGATGGCTACTGATCACAAAAGAGAGAGATTTTTTAACTAGATTGTAAGCTTGAGTTGGACTGGCTTAGGAGTAGGAGCTGGGATTGCATGGGACATTTAAATTTTTTTTATCACAATTGTGCAAAGTCATTCTACTTATCTTCAATTCCCTTTTCTTATACTGCTTGTGACGATCTTTTCAACTATGTGATTCCTCCTATTGTGAAATTGTATGCAATTAACTGCATAGATGCTTACTCTTGTTATGACTAAGTTGGTAGCGGATCTTTTAATATGTTTTGTTGAGGATCAGGGATGTGCTTCCAGTTTGATCTGGGATAAGCCAAAAAAAAAAAATGTTTAGTACTTTTTGTAGTGACTTTGCAGAAAGTTTATGATGGAAATGATTTGAATAGATGGTAAGTACCTAGAACATTACCATCGCCATCAAAACGCCATCATTTTCTTCTCCTAAATGAACTTCAAATTTACCTATTCACTTTAATTGGGTGGAGAAAAATTGTAGATCCATTTGTGCTGCTGATCAATTTTCAAACCTTTCTTGCAGGACTCGTTATTTCTCTGAACCGAAGAAAGGTCATAATCCACTTCAAGGGCGGGCTTATTATCAGCTATTAGAGTGCCTTGGTGTATGAATTAGATTTTGAGTTGATTATCTCATGTAATTGTTAGAAAATTTCTTCTTCACGGTTTATCTAACTTGGTTTGTCTTGTCAGGTTATAAGAATCCATTCTCCCATGAGGGCCAAAATGAAGCAAGATTGGTCAGATGTGCCTAATCGCAATATGATAAGGAGTGCTCATGCGGCTGCATTGCGCTTAAAGAGGAGTCAAGCTGGTCAGAGTGGTGGACAGGGACAGTTTGGTAGTTGTAAGGTTTGGGGCAATGCAGACCCTAAAAACAATGGGCGGGTCTCTGGTTCTTCAGACATGAGTGATGTCAGGAAATATTCGAATTACAGCAAATGGGAACTCATGCCTTTAGAGAAGCTAAGGAAGGAAGCACGAGATTATTTTATCCAAATGGAAGGTGTATCCCTGTACAAAATGGATGGCAACAAGTTGGATGATCTTGTCTGTGTGCGGCACACTCTAAGATCGGAGGCATGATTGATACCGTTTGGTGACTTCATATTGGTTTACTGGGAGATTTCACTTGATTAGTCATCTCCCAATGTCATGTTTCGGTAAATGTGGTTGCAAGTGCAATGCTCCGCCTTTAGTGTGCAATTTTGAGGTATGATGAGCATCTGCACTTTTGACATGCTTTGCTCTCGGGTTTTCTACATCAGAAGAAACCAAGAGAATACACCATCACTTGTTGCTTCGTGCGATATCTCCACCTTTAAATGATTGAGGAAATATACATGAACAGAAGCCAAATCTTCATGCAGCTTTGTTCAAGTTCTGATCAAGTTGAGTTCGTACTTCATTCCTTGTGGATTCTTATGTTAGCCGGGTGTTAGGATCTGGATGGCATCGCTTGAGATGCAGTTTTGTCCTGATCTTTTGCCACTTTGTATCTATGTTGTCACTGAGTGTGCTGAAGCTTTTTGATGACATTCAAGTGCTATGAGCACTAAATGATACAAATAACAGAAAACATACAGAATCTTAGGAGCTAATTAGGACTTTTATACTTTCTGATAATTAATGAAGCTTACGCGTCATTATGGATCAGTTGATGGAAATCGTGGTAGTGTGAAGCGTCTCCTTTGCATGTTTTCTGAGCTTATCATTTGGAGGAAGCAGTGATTATCAAAGAATATTTATCATGACAAAGTCTAGCTTGAACCGTCGATGAGGCGGCATTTCACATTTTCCCCAAATGTAATCGTCTCCGTCGGCTATACTAGCTAATAGTATGCCACTACCATGCAACTTCAACATCACTGATCAAGTCCCCGCTACTTGTGCCGGCAATTTGTATCTTCCTCAAGATTTTTCTGGAGTGGCAATAGAGAAATTTCTGAGCCATTCGTAAATATCTCCGAAACGATTGGAACTTGCTAAAGTTTCTCCATCTCTCAAAAAGTATCTTTGGCAAAGGGTCATACCTTATCCAGAGTTCTCAAATATCTTCACTTTCCAACATCCTATCCATCCCCTATAAATTGGGATTCAATCTCTCTATGATTACACAAAATTCATCATCAGATCTCACAACACTCGACATTCAAGATGCAAGCAGCTTCGTTCCTCGCACCACCCCTCCTTCCGGTGACCCCATCCAAGAACCTCTCTAAGCCCTTAGCTTTGCCTTCCAAGCTCTCATCTTCAGTCTCATCTCGAGTCTCCCCGGTAAAAGCTTCTCCGGAGGCCTATGAAGCTGCGACAGTCGATTACAGCTCCACAATCTCGTACGACACCGATTTTCATTTATTGTTTCAATTGAATTACCATTTTTTGAAATTCCTAATGTCTACATAGAAGTGTCTCTTAAAAAGTGAATGCGTGAAAAGAGTAGACAGAGTTAGTAAGTGTAACTTAACAAAACATGTGGTCATTGACAGAGTCTTCCCAGCAGAAGCCTGTGAAACCATCGGTGGTGAAGCATGCTCGGCAGACATATACCCCGAAGTGAAGCTCAATCCGGAGGCCCAAATCAACACGGAGATGCAGGCCGCAGAGGCCTTCGAGAGGGAGTATCTCGAATACAGCGGGCCGAAAACGTAAAGCCCCCAATATATTGTTTATAGTGCCACCGGGCAAAATTCCAGTAATTTTTCTGAGAAAAATCCGTGAACTTCTTTCGATTTCTTGTACAGGGTTTTCCCAGCAGAGGCTTGCGACGATCTCGGCGGCGAGTTCTGCGAACGTCCATACCAGAGAGGTGTTTACTAGAATCAATCATGAGGGCCAAACTCTGCAACAAAAGAGGGAGTTCCGAATCGTGGATATATATGTGTGTAGATAGTTACTGTGATGTATGGGTGTAAAGAACATACTAAATCGTCGGGGCTTCTATCGCGCTGCGGGGTTAAAAGTATGGACATTTCTTGTGGGTTGTTTCGCCGGTTTCGTGGCGTGTAAACCTAGAATTCTCACGACTTATCGAATCGAATTCGCTGACATGGAAGGAGGATTTGCCGGGCTTTTTGTCTCTCAATTTTTGCTATGTAATTTATTTGCTCTTGTATAGCATATGGTGCCTTCCTTTGCTTTGTGGTATACCAAGGTTGATGTAGGCATGAGGATTGAACTTTGATATGACAAACTAGAGCCATTCAAAAGCATGGGAAACACGATCTGCAGTCAACTAATTCACCTTCAATGGGCTAAAAATAAGATTCGATCTAAGAGCATTGGAAGACTGACATGAAGTGAAATTAATGCAGTAGGCTCATGAGTTAGTATGATTGCTCTAGAAAAATTCTACTTTCTATATCCACCCTAAAAGCTCATTGATTGAGAACGGAAGTTATTAACACTAAAACATTATATATATATCGAGATAATTATCACTTGAAATTATTGACACATCAGATTATCCGGCGTCCTTTAGCATGGAACTATAGTACAACCCTTCATGTAAATTGAGTGGTTACGGTTAAAAAGGCCTCAACTTCCATTACGAAAGTCACAAGGCGAGATAAATCATACATTTAGCTACGGAAATGATGAAAGATGGCATTCATTATCCTTGCACTCTCCAAGAGCACTATTATATGGTTTTTTTCTTAAAACAAGATTAGCACTCAGACAGTTCAATTGACTCAACAATCTGAAACAAATTCAACCTACACCAAGCACTAATGTTAATAGTATCAACAAGAGAAATCATCACTTGGTAGCTAGGGATCCAAAGATGGCATCGATCACCTATCCTTGAAGTGCAACCATTCATAAAACCGCCACCTTAATTGGAACTTTCAAGAATCCTAAACTTCTCTTATTACAAAAAAGAAGAAGAAGAAGAAGAAGACAATAAAAGGTATATTTTCATGATATTGAAAAACAATGAGCAAAGGTTGACACGGTATACGAAAATTTGAAAATATAAAATTGTAGCATATAAAGTTTTTTTTTAAAGAAAAACCTGCATACGAATTCACTAAAAAATGATTGGACTCCCAGGCCCCATTTGGACATTGGAAGTAGAGCCAGTGGAATGAGAATGAGATCTTTGTTGCCTTAATCGGTCGTGTTTGGCAGCATATCATATGTGAAATGACCTACTTCCTAGTTTCCCCAGGATGGGATTATTTCCACCTCTATATGATTAAATCCACCTCGTTTTCATTAATGAGGTAAAATTACCATCAGTTATTCAATTGCAATTTAAAGTAGCGGCCCCAAAATTATATACTTTCCATCATTTTCAATTTTTTTTTATTTCTACGTAGGATTTAGTTGCCATAGTTAATAATATCACGTGGTTCGTTTTGTTTTTCATTGTGGGCACGCCTTGTATATTAGAGGCACCGTATTTTCTATTTTGCTAGGTTTTACCTATGTAGAAATTAGCTTTGACGAATAAAGAAATTTCGAAGAAATCTAATTCTTTACTACCCTGCTGAGCAAATTTATAGATTTATTGTCAAGTAGAATCTAAAAGAATTTTTACATAAACAACTTTTTATCACAATCGCATGTTTTTAATAAGATAGCTGGATGAAACAAAATGAAACCCTCTTGGAAGATTTTCTAAAATATAATCACAATTACATTCCTCAACATGAAACTTTCAATGATGAATATAAACTAAATCAAAGCTTTGCACAGAAAAAGACTAGTGAAATTTCATTCATTTTGGATTGACAAAAATCAATATAATCCGTGGAGTGTTTACAATTTTTTTTTCCATAATGCCTCAATGTGCATAACTTTTTCACATCGATGGTTGTAGTATATTTCTAGATACTCCTATAATATCTTACATGCTCGGTATAATAGTGTCTCGACAATAATAGGAAAAAACACAAATTCTTTGATATAATAAATAGAGAGATCTGATATTCTTTTTAGACTAATGAAATTAAATAATAAAAAACTCACTAGGAAAGTGAGCTTTTGACATAGGTGGAACGAAGAATAAATCAGTTGTCGCCAACATAATGATGAAGCAGAATAGACTCGATTTTTATTTCCAAAATAACAGTAAATTTGAATCTGATGGAAAATCATAAAAGGAAAGATATCTGAGTTAAAGAAAAATGTGCAAATATGGAAACCATTAAGGCAGATTTTGTCCATTTAAACAAAAAGGAGTGGATTTGGCCATCTAGGGGTGAAAATGGTCCCACCCTTTTCACTAATTTGGAGAATTGGGAATAATATGATGGTCATTGGCATAAATGAGTAAATCAACATACAGGGTAACTTCATGAAATCCACGAATAATTGAGGCTCCTATTTGGAAAGTTACCATAAGAAGAAAGTTTCACATGGGAAATGCAAATCATACATCTAATAATTGCCAAAGTTTTATAGCAACTTACAACTTGAAAATTTGAACCTTATTTAAAACATAAAATGTTACCAAGCAGAGTAATTTAGAGGTTAATTATTAGTATTCCCATTTTGTATTTTTGGTTTCGATTCCTTTCAATCTATTTCATTGGGTCATTAATGTTTACCAAATAAGACCCCCAAAGGTAGACCAAATCTGATAATTGCCAAAGTTTTATAGCAACTTACAACTTGAAAATTGGAACCTTATGTAAAACATAAAATGTTACCAAGCACAATAATTCAGAGGTTAATTATTATTATTCCCATTTTGTATTTTTTGTTTCGATTCCTTTCATTCTATTTCATTATGTCATTGATATTTACCAAATAAGACCCCAAAGGTATACCTAGTCTTGAGTTGAATTTTTTTTTACTCAACGATAATCTAATTACCCAGTTGACTCTACCAGCAGGCTCAAGAGAGTCTTGCCCTAGCTCGCTTATCACATGAAAAAATCTTAGTTTATTATCTTTTGTTGTATAGGAAAGTATCGGCTTGGATGGAAACAGCCAAATTGATAGGGCATACATTAGGCCACTTGCTAAGCAATTTCGATATTCGAGCATGGTCGACCGATTGAACAAGGCTGAATGACCGAAAGTTTGTCATTAGACCCGCTCAAAAAACGGGCAAAGTCGTAGGATCCATGCATGTCTGCGACACGATAACGATCATCGATAGGTATAATTTAATTTAAACGTATCAACTTAGATGGAGTTAGCTAAATTGATAGGGCATACATTAAGCCACTTGCTAAGCAATTTAATATCTGAGCATGATCGACCGATTCAATAAGACTCGACGATTGAAATTTGTCATTAGACCTGCTCAAATGACGGGCAAAGTCAAAGAATCCATGCAAATGTCTGCTACACGATAGCGATCGTCGACGTGCACCGTTTTCAGTAACAGCTCCGATCGTAAAACGAGGCATTATGGTTTTTAAAGATATTCAACAAATAGTTCAACATCCGCAACACATCCAACGCAACATCGGCTTCTCTCGGTGTCGAGGCGCCACTGTTTTAAAAGTCCATACATGTAATTTACAGCATTTTACAGCACAGTTACAATTCAGTCACGGGCCCGAGCCATGGCAAACGGGCTCGTGGATGTTTTCTTCCCCGATGACTCGCTTACTCAAATTGGCGGGGGGGCGAGAAGTGTTATAAATTTTCTCATTTCTCATCAGAAAAAATATGAGATATAGTTTTGAAGGTTTACAGGGACAAGACCTAGAGAGGGAGGGAGGTGATCGCCTGCGTCGCTCTTCTCCATCTCGCCCGTGTTCTTGCCGTGCCCATCTCTCTGATCTCCCTCGTGAGCAAATGACGACGGTAAACTTCATCACCTGGTTCTGCTTCCTTCCTCTCTGTTGTGTAGAGGCGTGGTCGCTCGTCACTCTCTTTTCACAGGTTCTGTAATCTGGGTTCTGATTCTCCCCTGCTGTTCTTGAATCTTTTTCTGACCAGACAAGCGGCGATCCTTAACCTTTTACTAGAGACGTGTGTGGATTGATGCGTTAATGATCCGGGCACGCCACGACATCCGTGCGCTTCGTCGACCAGCTCGGGGCGTGTTTGAAAAGTTGTGACCTTTGACAAGAAAAACGGAACCCCGGTTCGGCTTTTCTCTGGTTTCTCTTGAAATCCGCATGTGAGGAAAAAGGAATAAATTGGTAATGGAGGTGTGGCCCTGGTGGCTTTGAGAACTCGAAACTCGACATCAAGCAACTGCTGCCTGTTGTTATTGTTAAACCTGGATTCCTGTTGTGAAGTGTTGGGATAGAAATGCTCTGTATGTGTTCACTGGTGGGCTGCTTCTAGGGTTTCTATTGATGTCAGCAATTCGAGTGAATTATCTGACAAATGGGGTCTCTTTGCTAAGTTGGTTTAGGGATGAATTCACGTTGGTCATGATTATGGTCTTGTTATTGCGGTTTTTGTTATGCCGCCACGGTCTGTGTTTGCTTAGTTTTCATGTGAAGTAAGCATTAGCTAAGTTGCCCGTTACGAGGTTCGGTGTAATTCAGTTCGTTCGTAGTTAAGGTAACGCCGTAGACTCCTTAGTCGATATGCACGCTTTGAGTTTGTGACTTTTGCCATGTCATTAATATTCTCGTTATTGCCGCGGCTCATAGTCCTAAAATGTGGATTCCGCTTTAATGGCTCCTATGTTTCATTTATGTTTCGTAGACTTTATATTGGTAGTTCGATCTGCACGTGCGAGTTACGTAAAATTCTTAGTATTCTTTTTTGCGTCAAGTGCTTATTAAGGTACATTTTTTTCTTGAAAAGTGTTCCCCAAATCCTTCTGCAAGTATGACAATGGTAACTCATCCTCTGCTTCTCTCCTTCTCTTTGTTGCAGGCGTTGCTTGTTACTCTTTTGAAGGTTGTGTATTCTGGTTCTGATTCTCCGGCTCTTCTCGAATCTTTGTGACAGACAAGCATTGATCTTTAACCTTTACTAGAGACGTGTCAATTGGTTCATACATCCACGCGCTTCCTCAACAAGCCAAGGGCATATTGAAATGTTGTGACTTTTGACAAGAAAAACGGAGCCCTGGTTTGGCTTTTTTGTTTTTGGGATTTGCATGAGGAAAAGAATAAGTTGGCGATGGTGGTC